GGGCATGTGCAGGACCTGCTCCGGGGAGCAAGCAGGGCCGTGCAGGGCAGCAGACCACTGTCCCATTTGCTGCAGAAGTGGAGGGGTGCATAGGAACGAGGTGGGAGGGTGCATTCAAGAGAAGGGCTGGCATCATGGTCAAGGCATCCGGACGCTGTGCTGGAGAATGGGGTTGCAGCCCTGCTTCCGTCAGGGGCCAATCCTGGTCGGTCATTAGTGGCCTGATTTGAGACGCTGGGTCTCGCGTGCAGGAGCACTGAGCACTCCCGGCTGCACGTGGGGGCAGCAGGGCCAGCCTGGGTGCTGAGCACACACTGAGCTGCATAGGGCAAAGCTTTTGGGCTCAGGCTTGGGCACCAAAACTGGTAGCTAGTTGTGAGCACCAGCCCAATTTCCTTTCTGTGCACAGGGGACAGAGCCCTCCCGTCTCAGGGAGCGGTGTAACGACAACCTCACTGATACTTGGGAGCTGCTCTGACCGCTAGGGATCGGGGCCAAAGGAAACCTGGTGGGGGGTGGAACGAGTTGCTCTGTCCGTGGCGGGCTGTGATGTTCCCTCGATGCTGGTTTCAGAGTGCCATAGACATGGCATCCATGGTGCAGGGGAGACGGAGCGGTGCCTGGCTTCGCCTCCTCGCAGGGAGACCTGCCATGTTCAAACTAGGCCAGGGTCTGAAATCCCTGGTTCTCCCTGCACCCACCGGTGGGACTCCAGACCCGGGTCCTGCTCGGGGTGCGTCCAAATGGGGCTCTGGGCTTAGTCCGAATTCTGCTTCTCAGGGCCCCAAGCTTGGTGTGGGGTGGTTGGGACCTGGATCCACTGGGTACCGCGGCCTGAGCCCAGTCAGGGAGCATGGGGAGGAGGCAAAGAGGAGCTAGGGAAAGACCCTGGACTGGTCGCGATTGCGGCTGTCTTGCAAACCCACAGGAAGCACCTGGGAAATGGAAACCTGCCGGAGCACGCCACTTGTCCTCGGTGCCTATGCAAGGCCCTGCCTGCCTTCCTCCCCCACCCCCAGCGCAGCCCTGCCTGGTACGTGTGACAGGACACACGAGGAGGCCTAGATCTGTGGCTGCGGATGGCAGACAGCAGGGAAGTGCGTCCTTCAGCTGCTGCGCCGTGAGAGCCATTTAGCCTACTTTGCCATGCCCCCGTTATCTTCCCCCTGCACCGTCTCAGCGCAGTGCCGGGAAGGATGCTCGGTCCTGTGGGGCTGGGCAGCAGCCCGGCGGGTGGGAAGACGAAAGCAACTCCCCGGACGGCTCTCTGCAGACCCCCCCAGCTACACTGGACCCGTCTCTCTAGGCCAGGTGCTCTAGTGGTGTATCGGCAGCAGCTGGGTGCTGCCCTCGCACCTGCGGCTGCAGTGCAGGCTCCCTGCGGCCCCGGGCAGGGAGAATGGTGGTCTACCCGCTCCTCATGCCCAGTTGCATAGCTGTGGTCAGTACTCGGCACGTGGTGGAGCCTGCTCTGGGTTTCAGAGCATCGGCGGCAGAGAGAGGCATCGCTCCTTGCAGGGACCAGTCCCTGGAGGGACACGACCCCACCTGCTTCTCCCACTGGGCATCGTGGCGTTTGCAGCACGGCAGTGGGAGCCCTCTCCTTGGCTGGCATTGTCATGCCTCATGCATGCCGACCGGCGTGCCGGGAAGCTGAGCAGCATCAGGCTGGGTGTCTAGCTGGATGCAAAACCATTCGCTCTCCCGCGATTCAGCGTGGGTGGTTCAGGAGATGCCACTCGTAGCTCTAAGGACTGGGCTGGGCCTATGCGTCTGCCTGAGCAGCAGAGACACAAGGGGTTGGGTGATATCTTTTACTGGACCAGCTGAAGGGTTGGGAGGGATGGCAGACAAGCTCTCAGGCACAAAGTGTCCCTTCTTCCAGTCCCTTGTATCCAAAAGCTGGGCTGACGCCTCTCCCAGCTGTACAGTTGGTCCAGTAAAAGAATCACCAAAAAGCACCAGGAATTTCACGGCTGGTCTCTGCCTCTTTCGAGTCCTCCCGGCCATCCGAGTTGTGTGGGGTCACCCTCACCCCGCCACCTTGCAGCGGGTGCGTGCCGTGTCGCATGATCTGAGTTAAAACCAGAGGCTGTTCCACCCCAGAGCTGGCTGCATCTCCAGGCTGGGCAGGGCGTTCCTTGGACTTTGGGGTCCGTCGAGACGAGGAGGCCCGTGGAAAGCGAGGGGTCGTATCGCTCTTATTTTAGGGGTAGCCCGGCTGGGAGACAGCCGTGAATTTAAAAGAACACGCGCATTGTTCTGAGAGCTCCCAGGGGGGACACGCTCCTCTCCCTGTTCCAGCTCCCAATTGTGTTTGAAGTTTAGCGGTTTTGATCTTAATTGGCATTTGCGAGCCTCCTGCCAGCAGCCACCATCCTGCCGGGGACTAACACAGTCGCCAGCCCTGCGTCAGGGAGCAGGAATCGGTTCCCAAGCAGCTTTTGTCAGGGCAAGGATGGGCTGGAAGGGGCCTTTTCCCTCTCGGATACCGCGTGGGAGGAAATCCTGGCTCTGCTCTGACCAGAGGGGCTTCCTCAAAGGGCACAAGGCTCCTACTTCCCCCAGAGCTGACCCAAACCTCGATCTCTGTTGCGTTGCCACTGGCCCCGCAGACGGGTCGGGGCAGTCTGCATCCAGCCTTGCCAAGAGGGACCCGGTTGTGCCTCGGTGCAGGCAGGTGTAACTTGTACAGAGGCCCCCGGCGTCATTGCAGCGGCACTGGATGGGGCTCTGCCAGTCTGCCTTGCCCAAGCAAATCCATTCATGCCTCAGCAGCCCGCGGGTGGGGGCTGGCCCGGTGGCTCACACTGCTGGACCCTGCTTCTGGTGGAGCCCCGAGGCTCTGCACAGTCGCACCCAGCAGGCAGGTCCGTCACTTCTCCTGTAATTACGCTCTGGGAGCCAGTGTGCAATCTGCTGCTGGTCTGCAGCCTCGGGCAGTGCATGTACCCCCAGGTGGATTCAGGGCCCAAGAGATCCCCACTGCTGCAGCCAGCCTGAATGCATGGGACTTCAGCCTTGGACTGAGCAAAGGTTTGGTTTGGGTTTCCCCCGCCCTTGACACTGCAGCTGTACCCAGGGAGGCACTTACACAACCCAGGAGCCCAGACTCCGTCGCTGGCGCACTGCCGCTGGGACCGCGGGCGAGCTCGGTGGGCGGGC